AGCCAGCAAGCTAGTCCTTATTCCGCAAGGTGCTGAGAGAAAGTATGTGGAAAGGGGAAAAAAGGCACATTTAAGAAACAAATCTACAGGATCACGATAATATAAGAACTGCTTATAAGAGAGGGTTGCCACTTTCTCAGCATTCTGTCCCCATAACTAAATAACTTAATAATCACTGCATTTGGGGAAGTCTCTCATCTCTGTGCTGGGCCCTAATTAATGCATTTGAAGTCCAGGCAGGCACAGTCCCTGGGCTCTGCAACTAACCTTAGCTAAGGCACATATTTCTCAATATGCGCATAACGCAAATAGGTGCACACGACAGAGGAACACCGCGTGTTCACAAGGAACATTTTCCCAAGGAGACCCCAGGCAAACTCCGGAATTGGGAAACATACAACAGGTACTTCCACCTCAGAAGCTAAAGCCCTCATGTCAAGAAGGGCAGGATGCCATGCGGTGGTCGCCTGGGCGCGTCCTGGGGCTTGTCGCCTGACCCGGGCCGTACTCTGGGCGGCGAGCACTCGGCGCTGCATGCGGGAAGCCGAGGCGGCGCCTCCTACTGCCCTCAGCCCTCAGCCAGGACCCGCAAAGAGAGGCTCCGCTCCCACCGCCCCCTGAACACAAAGCGGGGGCTTGCGGGCACAGGTGGGCGCGGGGGCGGCATTGCGGAGCCGCAGCCTGGCCAACCTGGCGCCGGCGGCCGGGCAGCGTCGGCCTCCCACCCTGTCCGCAGCAGCGCGCCCAGCGCCTCCCGCTCGCCGACCCTTCCCCTCTCGCTTCTGGCCCTCTCACACCTCCACTGCTCCAGCCTCAGGTCTGAGCCTCCTCCGCGAGGAGCGCGCTGTGTAGCTGCGGCTCCGAGACCCCCGGCCTCGAGCAGCCCGCCCAACCCACCCGCGACACCCCCGCAGAGTCCGCGCCCACCCCGCAAGCAGCGCCGGGACGCCGCGCGCCTCAGAGCCACGGGGCTGGCGAGACCCTCCAAGTGGGCGATTTCGCCTCTCCGGCTCCAGGGACGGCGGCGGCGGGCGTCCCCACACCCCAAGTCCTACCAGTGGGCCCGCGCGCGGTGAGCCCCGGTGCCCCGTCCGGCCGGGCTATACCGCTCAGGCCCGCCCCAGCCCTCCCGCGTTGGCTTTGCCCCCGCAGTCACCGGGGGAAAGTTTGCGCTCCCGGCCGCCCGCGGCGCCCCGCCTGCTCTCCACCTCCCCTCCCCGGCCATGCAGTTCGCGGCTCCAGAGCCCCGAGGGGAGGGGTGCGCGCCGCGCTGGGGCCGCCCTTCCTCTCACCGTCGCCCGCATCTTCTTACCCCACTGCCAGGGAAGCGAGCCGTCGGCGAGGGTGCATCGTCCTCCTCCTCCTCCGCCTGCTCTCGCCCGGCTGGCAGGCGCGGAAGGCCGGTGCGGCGTCACCGCCCCATGCTGCCAGCGCGAACTTGCCCAGTTCTCCCCGGCCGAGCGGATCCGCCGCCCCGCGCTCCCGCCGCCGCCCTGCGGCTTCGCTCTGCGCCGCGCCCGAGGCCGCGCGCTGCCCCGCTGCAGATCCCCCCGCGCCCCCAGTGCACTCGCGCGCTCGCTCTCACCTCTCCTGAGCGCCACATGTCGTCTCTGGGTTTGAGGAACGTTCCTCTGCAGAGGCGCTCCGGTAGAGGCCGCCAGACTCTCACCAAATGCGCCCTCCGGCCGGCTCAGCAGAGGGGGAGGGCTCAGGGCCCGCGCTTGGCCTGGTTTGGGATAGGCCATATATCTGAAGTTTCTTGAAGGCCTTCAGGAGCATATTTGGAGCCTCCTGTAATAACCACTGGTTTCCCTTTTTTACAGCAAAGGTGGAGGGGGACTGTCAGCAAAGCGGTAGCCAGAGGCCGTTGCTCCGAGTTTTTCTCTTTAGGTCCAAATCTGAGTACCTCCCTAACCTGGTGTTCCTCCTCAGTCCTCACACTCCTTCATGCCCTCATCTCCTATTCTCTTAAGGAAGAAACTCCTTTACGAGGCTTTTTTTTTTTTTTACCTGTAATTCATTGCTACGGGAGGGAAAGAGCAAAACTGGATTAGATTAGAATTAAACCCATACCTAATCGCAATATACATTGTTGTTTTTTTGTTTTTGTTTTTGTTTTTTTCTGTAGTGTTATTTATTGACAAGAAACGGTGTGTCGATAGCAAGGGCATGTGGGTCTGAAAACCTGAGAGCAGCTCCGGGGTTAAGCGGGCGGAAGCTCCCCCAAGGAGCGCTCCTGGGACCAGGACATGGGTGCCCTGCACTGCCGCTGGTACCCATGCACACGTAGGTTTCAGGACTGGGATTGTGGGGTTATGTCTGTCTCTGTCTCGGTGGTGCAGATCCTGAGAGGGGGCACTAACGACAACCGTAAGGAAATAGGGTCCCCTTCAAGCGGCACAAACAAGATGGATGCAAAAGCAAGCACAGACCTTAATTTTCCAGATTGCAGCATCTTGTTTCCTCAGGAGGTGGATGCCTCTTGACTATGAAAACATCCGAGAGAAAATGATCAAGATTTAAAGTTAAACCACCAAGGAAATGATGAGACTTATATTATCGTTCCACAGCTTTTGTGACGCTGCATTGTTAATAGTCACTTTTAACAGAATAATTGTGAGAAAAGGCAAATCTCTAACTCTGCTCGGGAAAGGATCTTTAATCTTTCAGGGTGTGAAGTTACTTTATTCTTCAGTTGTGCCTAATACCATGTATTTCAAATCTAAGTTACCTGCTGGTACTTTTGCACATTTCAAAAATTCTGGGATTCTTCAAAAATGGGTAATTGTAAATATATTTCTGAATAGGACATAAAAAATGTATGAATATCACAAATATACAGGAGGTGTTACTCTGGATATACATTTAGCCACAGTATTAAATAATTCTGATTTTAGTGGTTCTGATGAAATATAAATTAGATAAGATGTTCATCTGAAAGGCATTTCTTTTTTTTTTTTTAAAGATTTTATTTATTTATTTGACAGAGAGAGAGAGCACAAGCAGGGGAGTGGCAGGCAGAGGGAGAGGGAGAAGCAGGCTCCCCGCAGAGCAGGGGGAGCCTAATGTGGGACTCGATCCCAGGACCCTGGGATCATGACCTGAGCTGAAGGCAGTCGCTTAACCAACTGAGCCACCCAGGCGCCCGTGGCATTTCTGATTCTAAACTGGTTAACTTAAACACATACATTTCTTCATTTTCTAATTTTTCAAAAGACCAATCACTGAGATAGGCTTGTTGACAGTCAAAATCATTAAATTAAAAACAATCAGAATCAACTTAATATAATTTTCAGCTTTTAGGTGTTAGAATTCTAGATTTAGATATACCAGTGACAGCTACTTTTCTCTCAGGATTAAACAGCATAAGGCAAATGAAAGAGTTCAAATAACTAGTGAATTTAAAGCTTTCCAGATTATGAAACAAAGTTATTCAGAAATTTTTGCAAAAAAAGAAAATGTGGACAAGTCAGAGATTACTTTTGGATTAGTGAGAGGTATGGACATTAAATCTCCACAACAATACCTTATCAGGGTATCATTGACAAATAATGAAATATCCACTGTAAGTGAATTTATGTTCTTTTGATGAATTAATTTTAAACTTTCCATGTTTGGGGTACGTTTTCTATCAATTTAATTTCAGTGCATATTATTGAACATATGGAAATTATCTTAAATAAAATCTAATCTTTAAAATTGTATTTAAGCATGTGGCTTAGATACTTACCTCCTCCATGTGATGAAATGATAACCCAGTCTTTCTTCTTAATTTTTATGAACATATAACAGAGCCTTAGGTTAGGTGGGCCTGAGGGGATAGTGAAATAGTGACATATCAAAATTATATAGAAACTCATACGTAGAAGAATATTTATTACCATTTTAATAGTGTTTGTTTGTTTTGATATAGAATTCAATGTTTGCCCTGAGAAATAACAGTCTATCAGCTGAATTCCCATTTGTTCCATTAACATTTTCCCTTTTATTGAATGACATAAAGCAAAATAGTTACAGTTCTGGAAAGCAGTAGAGGGCACCCCAGTTCCACATAACCTCGGGGTTAACCAGTCTCAATAAGAATTTAGTTTCCAGTGTGAGAGACTAAAATAGCTGAACTTGGGGAAACTGGGCAATGGGTGGACCACTTGCCCCAGTAACACCCACTCTGTACCATCCAAAACAGAGACCAAGAAGGGAGGCTCTGTTTATGTGGGTAGGTGTGGTAGAAATGGCTAAAACCCAGAGCCAGTGTCACTATGAGGAAGCAGAACTTGACAAGTTGAGTGGAGGATGTCCTAAACCAAGAGCCTACTTGTATAGAATAAGGCAATTTTGTGGGACTGTAGGTAATTTTGTATTTATGAAGAATCAGGGTAAAGAAAGCAACAGGTAAGATGAAGCAGATATACAAGGGCCAGGTACAAGAAGACAGGAAATGTGGAGAAGGAGTTAACTTCCTCCTGCAAACAAGAAGGAGCTACTGAATAGTTTTGTTGTTCAGGGGAAAGACATGATTCTAGAAGAGATTCACGCTGGCAACTGTATAGAGAAAGAGTGTTGGGAGGAAGCAAATCCAGGCTAAAAGCAGGTAAGAACATTGCAGTGCCAGTCCATGGCAGGAATTTAATAAATATTTGAGTTATTTCATTAATGGAATAATAAACCGATTGATTCTCAGGTATTCATAGCAGATTTTTAAGTGTTTTGCCAAACAGAAACAAAAGAGTCTTGATTGTTAAGAAAACAGAAAGGTCATGTCTGACTAGAAGAAGGAAAATTCCGAGGGAAAGATGGCACTTGATCTGGACTCTGAAAAAGTATTTGGACAGAAAATATCAGAAAAAGCAAAAGAAAGAGTAGGAACAAGGGTAGAAGGTACAGGGTGCGCTATGTAATAAACGATCCATTCATAGAAAGCACACTCTGTATTTTTAATTCATCATTTATTTTATTTATTTATTTATTTATTTATTTATTTATTTATTTATTTATTATCTTTAAATATGGAACACTTCATGAATTTGTGTGTCATCGTTGGGTAGGGGCCATGCTAATCTTCTCTGTACCATTCCAATTTTAGTATATGTGTTGCCGAATCGAGCAGTCACCTTATTTAAATTAGAACTCTCATGGAAGGCTACATATAGACTATGACCATGTTTTAATTAGCCAGTACTATTTTAAAATAAATCAGAGACAACAATTAAAAACCAGGTTTCACATAAATAAATGAATAAGTAAGCAAAGGAATGAGTAAGTAAATACTCTAGATTTCTGACTTTTCTTAAAAGAGAAAAAAATTGAAAGTAGATTTAGCAATAATAAGCATACATTCCCATCCTCTCACCCTACCCCGCTCCACTTATGTTGGAAATGGGCTTCTTAGAACAGTGTAGTCTATTTATTTTTACACTTAGCCTGACCCCTTCACTTATATTACTTGGCAAATGGAAGCAATTGAGGTTTTTAAAAAGATTTACAATTTTTTATTCTGATTTCATATTTCCCTGTATTACTGGCTTGTTAGTTATATCTATTTTATTTTGTTTTTACTAGTTGTTCAAGAGTTTAGAATAGATACCTTTAAAGTATTACATAGTCTACCTTTAAGTAACATTATACTACTTCAGGTATGGTATATGAATCTTACAATATACTTCTATTCTTTTTTCTGTCCTATTTGCTGTTGTTGTCACGCATTATTTCTGCATAGGTTAATTGTTACTCAATTGTCTTTTACATTAACAATGAATTATCTTTTTTTTAATTGTGGTAAAATATGCATAATATAAAATTTACATTTAACCCTGTTTAAGTGTACAATTCTGTGGCATTAAGTTCACTCATGTTGTTGTGCAACAATCATCGCTATCCATCTCCAGAACTTTTTCATCATCCCCAGCTGAAACTCTATTAAAAAACTCTCCCTACCCCCAGTTCCTGGTAACTACTGCTCTACTTCCTGTAGATTTGACCATTCTAGGTACCTCATATCAGTGGAATCATATAATAATTCTCCCTTTGTGTCTGCCTCATATCAGTGGAATCATATAATAATTCTCCCTTTGTGTCTGCCTCATATCAGTGGAATCATATAATAATTCTCTCTTTGTGTCTGCCTTGTTTTACTTATCATAATGTTTCCAAGGTTCATACATGTTGTAGCATGTAATTAGTATTTCATTCCTTTTTAAGGCAAAATAACATTCCATTGTATACATATAGCCAAAATTTGTTTATGCATTCATGTGTCCATGGACATTTGGATTGTTTCCACCTTTGAACTACTATGAATAATGTTGCTATGAACATTGGTATACAAATACCTGTTTAAGACCCTGCTTTCAATTCTTTTCTGTGCATACCCAGAAGTAGAATTTTTGGATCATAGGGTAATTATATGTTTAATTTTCTGAGGAGCCGGCCTACTGTTTTCCACAATGACTGCAGCATTCTGCATTCCTAAGAGCAAGAGTTCCAATTTCTCCACATCCTCAACAATACCTATTTTCTCAATGCAATATATGTTAAGAAAAAAAAGAAGAAGAAGAAGGTAGCAGGAGGGGAAGAATGAAGCGGGGGAAATCAGAGGGGTAGACGAACCATGAGAGACGATGGACTCTGAAAAACAAACTGAGGGT